CTTCCTCCCCCTCTCCCTCCCTTTTCCCCACCACCCATCTCTGTCTCCTTATCCACCTTTCTATTATATCTGTTTCTCTAGAAAGCGCTAAGGGGCTGAGTAGATAGTTCAGTGGTTAAAACAGGTACCAGATGATTGAAGACCAAAGTTCAGATTCTCAGAACTCATGTAAATGCGGGGTGGGTGTGGTAGCCTATTTATTTAGGGTGGCTTGCTTATAGTTTCAGAGATTCAGTCCATTATCATGACAGAGAGCATGGCACATGCAGGTAGATATGGTGCTGGAGTAGTAGCTGAGAGTCCTACATCTTGCAGTTCACAGGAATTCCACTGTCACACTGGGCAAGCCTTAGGAAGAAGAGACAGGATGCCCAGGGCAAGTTGACTAGCAAGATTAGCTATATTAGCACACTCTGAGTTTGGCTGGGAGTGAATAAGGTGAAAGATGATGGTTCCTGATAGCCTTGGAACTCTACACATGTGTACCTATGTGCACAGACACCCACAAGTATGCCTACATACATGAAAACATAAAAGCACATGCATACCACATGTACATGCAAAAAATTGGGGAAAATGGGGAAGAATTGGAAAAGAGAGAACCCTGATGTGGTATGAAATTGGTCCCCATAATCTCATAGGGAGTGGCACTATTAGGAGATATAGCTTTGCTAGAGTGGGTATGGTCTTGTTTGAAGAAGTGTGTCATTGTGGGAGTGGGCTTTGAGGTTTCCTGTGCTTAGGATACCACTCCGTGTGACAGTCAACTTCCCATTGCCTACAAAATGTAGAACTCTCAACTGCTATCCTGTACCATGTCTTCCTGCATGCTGCCATGCTCTCTGTCATGATAATAGACTGAAACTGTAAGTGAGCCACCCCAATTAAATGTTTTCTTTATAAGAATTGATGTGATCATGGTGTCTCTTCTCAGCAAGAAAAACCCTAACTAAGACAGAAGTTGGTACCAGGAGTGGGGTATTGTGATAGGCCTGAGCATGTTTTTATTTGAAGGAATATGGACCTTGGGACTGTGGATTAGAAAATCGGTTGAACACTTTAAGTGCTGCTTAATGGGCCATCCTAGTAGGATCATGGAAGACAGTGGCATTGAATGTGATTTGATGAACTATGGGGGCTTACTCAAGAAGTTCAGAGGAGAAGAATTTTAGTATGTTGCCTAGAGATCATTTTGTGATATTTTGGTGAAGGAAAGAAGTGGCTGCTTTTTGCCCTTGTCTAAAAAGTTTGTCTAGGGTTAAAGTAAAGAGTTTGGATTATTTCCACTGGCAAAAGAAATCTCAAAACAGCCTAGTATAGACTCTGTTGTGTGGTTATTAGTGATAACTCTAATGAAGATTTATAATGAAAAGGGCAAGCTGAGCAAAGTAAATTACAAAATATAAAAATTTGGGGAGAAAAGGAGAACCAGGAAGTGGAAGAGAGCTAAATCTTATGTTCAAGGAGATAGATGGATTTAAAAAATGGAATAAAGGGAGTGGTGACCCCAGGGTAAGCTCCCACCCAGCTAAGTTCCCAACTTGTGAAAAGAAACCAAAGAAAAGCTTAGAACTGGATGTGGTGGTGCACACCTTTTATCTCAGCACTGGGAAGGCAGAGGCTGGTGGATCTCTGAGTCTGAGGCCAGCCTCGTCTACAGAGTAAGTTTCAGGGCAGCCAAGCTTAGGCAGTGAAAGTCAGAAAGATGATGAAGATGTAACTGAACAAGGGGACCATGTTCCAAGCCCTGCAAGTAGTAGAACTTGACTGCTTTGAACTTGTGGTTCTGACTTTAGAGTTAAGGAAAGAAGAAACAGGTTATACAATTTGCCTCTGTACCTAAGGAAAACCAATGTGTCAGGGATTTCCCCGAATGCAGCCTAGAGAGGCCACTTTGTGAAGCTGTGGATTGCCTTGGAGATGTTAGAGATGTTAGAGCTGTGGGAAGCTGCTAACAGGGAGTGGAACCAGGCCAAGAGAAAAGTGTGTTCTATTCAACAAAGCTGAATGGAGCTGGAGACCTGAAGTGTGTTTTGACATCAGACACGGACATGCAAAGTTTGGAGTTTGCCCAGCTGGTGGTTTTCTATTATGCTTTTGTCCAGTATTTCCTTGCTATGCCCCTTCCCTTGTTTTTGAATGGTAATGTATCTCCTGTGTCATCATTATGTTGGAAGTATGTGATCTTCCTTTTGATTTTTACAGGTGACTACAGTTAAGATAGTTATACAAATCTCAAAAGAGCCTTGGAACTTTGGACTGTAAAACATTGTTGAGACTGTGATAGACTGTGGGGACTTTTGAAGTTGAACTGAATGCATTTTGCATTATGATATTGTTACAAGCTTATGCGGACCAAGGAGTTGAATGTAGTAGTTTGAATGTATCTGGACCCAATAATCTGATCGAATGGCACTGTTAGGAGGTGTGACTTTGTTGAAGTGGGTATGGCCCTGTTGGAGGAAGTGTGTCACTGTGGGCTGGACTTTGAGGTTTCCTATGCTCAGGATATTGTTTAGGGTGACAGTCAACTTCCCATTGCCTGCAAGATGTAGGACTCTCAGCTACTACCCCAGCACCACATCTACCTGCACACTGCCATGTTCTCAGTTATGACAGTAATGGATTGAACCTGTGAAATTGTAAGCATGCTCCCTCAATTAAATGTTTTCTTTTTAAGAGTTGTTGTAGTCATGGTGTGTCTTCACAGAAACAAAAATCCTATTAAGATACCTGGTTAACATACCTGGCTTGAAAGTGTTTGGAAGGTCATGCACATCAACCATCTATTTAGAGAAACTCAGCTGGGGTAAGGTGTCTCCAGCAGAAGAGAGGGGTGTGATGAGATCAGGTCAAGGAAAATCAATCAGTGAGAGACACCATTAGAAACCAGAAGGAGGCAAAAAAGATTCCTCCCCCATTACAGGCTTAGAAAGGAATATGGCCCTGCCGTTACCAGGATTTTTGAATGTTCTACTCCTAGGACTACAAGATATTTGTGTTGTATTCAGCCACCAATTAGTAGTACTTGTTAAGTATCCCAGAATTTCTATTCTTTTAAAGTATGTTTTCTGGCTCAGAATGTTTCTATTTCAGTGAATCTCCAGCTTCGCAAAGAGGGGATATTTTGCTGGTTTCAGATGGAGTTTTTGTAAATGTTGATTAGCTTAAGCTGTTTGCTAGTGATGATTAGGATAGCTATGCCCTTACTGGTGTTCTGTCATGTGACCTGTCCGTTACTGAAAGAGGCATGTTGAAGTTGCTGTCTGCAGTACTGGTGTGACTGTTTCTCCTGGAAGTTTGCAGTCATGCTAACTGCACCTTGACACTTCTGTGTTAGGCAAATGCATGCTAAGGATTAGTATATCTCCTTGACGAATTGAGTTTTTTCATCTCTTTACAATATTCCTCTTTGTTCTTAATAATTATTCGGAAATCATCTTGGTTTGAAATTAATTTGATACTACAGCTTAATTTTGGTTGATGTTAGCATGGTCTGTCTTTCTCTAGCCTCTGACCTTTAAAATAATTTATTTAAAAAATGTCTTAACGTCTTTGTTTATTTCACATATTTACCACTCACCCCACATAAAGTGAACTATTCACTGACTTTTCATATATTTAGGGGGATGTGCCACCAACACAAAGTGTGTGTGTGTGTGTGTGTGTGTGTGTGTGTGTGTGTGTGTGTATGCCTTTTTCAAGGCATGGTTTCTCTATGTAGTTTTGGAGCCTGTCCTGGAACTTACTTTGTAGACCAGGCTGGCCTTGAACTCACAGAGACCTAGCTGCCTCTGCCGCCCAAGTGCCCTGGCCACTATAATATATTTAAGCTTTTTTTTTTTATTCTACAAAACCCTTCAACCCATTTGTCATCTGCCAGCCCTAGGCAGCCACTAATCTACTTTCACTCTCTATGGATTTGGCTGTTCTGGCCACTTTATAGTCATATTGTTACATTGGGATGAAGCCACACATTTGTGATCTTTTGTAAATGGAATTACATGATATGGTGTGATTTTTTAAAAAATAGTTTCTTTCACTTAGCTTAATGTCAAGGTTCCTCTATATTGTAACAGGAATCAGATATTTTGTTCATTTTGTTATAATATTCCATTATACAAATAGATGTTTTTCATTTATCTGTTCATCAATTTATGATAATTTGGGTATTTTTCCCTTTTTGGCTATCAAATAGTGTTTCTATACACTTCTGTATATAATTTTGGAGTAGTTTTTATTATTATTTCTTATTATTATTATTTGGTATACGCATATTGCACTAGCTATCTTTGTAGCTAGTTGCTGTGAGAAAATACCATGACCAAAACAGCTTTTGGAAGAAAGAGTTTACTTTGACTAATGGGTCCAGAAAGAGAAGCTTTGATGGCAGGGGGCATGACAGCCAGAGCAGGAAGCTGAGAGATCACATCTTGAACTGCAAACATGAAGTCCAGACAAGGGACTGGAAGTATGGTGAGGCTAGGAACTCTCAAAGCCTACCCCCAATAACACACTTCCTCAAGTAAGGGCACACTTCATGAAGGTTCCTAACATCCCCCAAACAGCTTCCACTAGGGACCAGGCATTCAAATAGTGAGCCTATGGCAGTGGCGGGGGGTGGGGGTGGGGGGAGCGGGGTGTGTGTTTCATCATAACCAGCACATATAGGTGTACGTTGCTAGATTGTGGGATAACTGCATAAAAGGGAATTGGCAGACTGCTTGGGTTACCCAGCTACTGTATAATCTTTACACCACCATTATCAGTATAAGGCTCAAATATCTCCATATATTCCCTCATTTGTTCCTGTCTCCTTTTTATTACAGTGGCCCTAGTGGGCATGAGAGGGCGTCTCATTGTAGTTTTGGTTTCCCTTTACCTGAAGACCAACACTACCGAGTATCTTTTTTATATATTTTAGTTATTTGTTTGGCTAAACACCTATAAAAAGCCCTTTGTGTTTTTTTTTTCCTTTTTGCATTCCTATAGTTCTTTACATGGGCATATGTCAGATAAAATTTCTAAATGTTCTACTGTGGTTTGGGTTTTTGTTTTATGGTATTTTCTTTTGGTGATGTCTAGTTTATTTTTCTTTTGTTGCTTATCTTTCTGGGGGCATAGCAAAAACTCTGTTAATTCAGTCTTGACAACTCAGACACATGGTGGTTATATACAGTTTTTCATTTAGCTATGATTTTGAATTCCTTTTTCTATCTAGTGTGAAATACTGGCCGGAGTTATTCTTTTGCGTGTGGACAGGCAGTTGCCTTCCATTATTGCCGAACACTTTTCTGTCCTTGAATGACCTTGGCATCCTTAGACCAGGTGACTATAAATGGAAAGGCTTATTTCTGGGTTTTCAGTTTTATTCCCCAAACAATCGGAATTGCTGACTTGTGTTTCAGGCAGGATCCTATGCATGAGCTCATTTACTTCTCTATTACGCATTGATATTAACATTATTCTTAGTCCCGCCTTGCAGAGGAAGTAGTTTAGATCATGGATGGTATGTCTGGACACAAACTTGCGCTGATACTGACAGCCTGAGCTCTCAGCCGTGGCATGAATAATCTTAGCAACCAGAACTGTAGAAATGTACTGAAAAAATCCATTATAACAAAAACTACCGTGACTCGGATTGCCCTACTGGGCTGGAGAAACACCTCCGATAGAGGCTTATGCGTGCTTGCTGTCTCTGCGTGGTGAGGTCTGAAACCTCACCTCAAGGCCGAGGACAGGTTATACCGCGAGTCTAGGTGGGTACCCTGGAGCCTGCTGGTCAAAGCCCACGCAGGCGCTGTTCTAGGTGAAGACAGAAAGGACCTTGCCTTCTGGCGGGAGGCTGCCCGAGACCCGAGAACTCTCGCGCGAAGATATGTTGTTACCACGGTAACCGCATCGGTTTAGAAAGATGGCGGGGCGAAGTGTGGGAGTGCCGGTGAGTTCAGCCCCAGGCTCCTGACTGGTGGCTGGGCTGCGGGCGGGCAGGCGGGACCGACCCCAGACTCCCTTGAATTTGAGCTCTGCAATTCTGTCTGCAGAGATGCGGTGCTGCAGGTACTCAGTCGCGCGGGCAACTTGCAGCTGGACAGGACCTCCTCGCCCGGGAGCAAGAGTACAAGTGAGCGTCCCTCATGCCCTAGGGAGGTTACTGGGGTACCTTTTCTGTAGAGTGTCTGTATCTGGGGGCCTCCTCCCACTCCCCATCCGCTTTTAGCCGTAGCTATTTCGCCGTAGCTATCTGAGAAGATACTTGTAAGGGCAAAAATGTACAAAAACTGTGTTGGGCATCAGAAGGGTTCACTTGGAAGTGCCTTGGAACACACAAATCGCCACCAAGAGTGGAGTTCCCAGAGTAGATTTCTTCCTTCCTTCCTTCCTTCCTTCCTTCCTTCCTTCCTTCCTTCCTTCCTTCCCTCCTTCCCTCCCTCCCTCCCTCCCTCCCTCCCCCCCTCCCTCCCCCCCCTTCTTTTTTTCCCTACACAGGGTTTCTCTGTGTAACAGCCCAAGCTGTCCTATAACTCGCTTTGTAGACCAGGCTGGCCTCGAACTCACAAAGATCCACCTGCCTCTGTCATTCCATCCCATCTCGTGTCCGTCTCTCCTTTCTCCCCCGACCAGTGCTTGTATTAAAGGCGTGTGCCACTAGTGCCCGGCCCAGAGTAGAAGATTTTGAGAATTCTCAGATTACTAGAGTTAACTTTGTGCAAATTTCTTAGAGGCTTGTTTTCTAAATCAATTAAGTCCTGGCTACAGTGGAAGGAGAAAGAATGATTTCCCTTCGTTGCCTTGTTCTTTGGCAGTTATCTCTGCCCCCACCCTCACCCCACCCCCTTCCTCAGGTTGCATGCAGCAGCCCGAGGAACCCTTTTCATTTTCAGTTTGTCTTTTTCGTTGCACTGCTTAAAATTGCATTTTGCTGTTGTTGCACATGCAATGCTTTGACAGCTCTGGCTTCTTTTATTTAGCTTTCTGCCTCTCGCTCACATATACAGGTTGCACTTCTCCAGTCACAAGGGACATGGGTCTTTCTTTCCAACCCTGTCTGTTCTTGAGGGAAATCATACCTGCCTTTAGACTGTAAAGCCCAGAGGGGACTTTGACCATGCTAAACAGATCCCTAGTTGTTTCATGTTTTTTTCCCAATTAGCATATTCTGTTCGTATAAACTCACTTGATAGCTTACATTTTTTTAAAACAAAACAAAACAAAACAAAACAAAAAGATCTGAAACAGGGTTATCTCTACATAACCCTGGATGTCCTGGAGCTCACTATGTAGACCAGGCCCTGAACTCACAGAGATCCTTCTGCCTCTGCCTCCAGAGTGCTGGGATTAAAGACATGCACCACCATAGTTTATTTTCTTATATTCTGCCTCCTCTACTGAACTCTAAACTCCACCAGGGTACCAGGGTAGAGATGATGTCTGCATTATTTGCCATTTGAATGTACCCTTATTAAATAAAGTATATTTTTAACATCTTTTTTGTTTCTTTGTTTTGTTTTTCGAGACCAGATTTCTTTGTTGTAGCCCTGGCTGTCCTGTAACTAGCTCTGTAGACCAGGCTGGCCCTGAACTGACAGAGATAACCACCACCCAGCAACAGCTGTTAAAATCTAAAGCTCTTAAACTCATTTGTTACTAGTGCAACAACAAAATGCATATCTTCAGCACTGCTCAACACATGCTGTAGAGCCTCATGGATTTCTGGATGAGACCATCTGCTAGCTGTGGTAGTTTTTTTCTGGTTTTGTTTTCTCTGCATCCCCCTTTCCCAGTCTATGACGACACAAGGTGGAGCACAAAAGCGAACATGAGCCGCCACAGCGCAGCCGTGATTTTGAGGAGCTCACTTTTAATAATTCATTATCTCTGAGGTTTGCTCCAGGGTTTGGGTAGGTTCCTTTTAAATCAGGCTTTATAAATTTGCCCTGATTTCACTAAATATAACTTTAAAAATATGTATCAAAATATTTTCTCCACAATGTAACTCAGGTCTGATGTATGTGGCAGAGGAGTTTATGGCAGACAGGTCATTTTGGAGGATCAAGAAACAGAGAGTTCCGGCAGAAAGTGGTGCTGGACCGTAAGCCTCAAAGACCCCCTCCCAGTGGCCTGCCTCTATAAACTACACTCCCCAAAGCAGCCCCACTAGCTGGGGAAGTGTGGCAAACAGTTCATTTTCAGACCATAACTATCTCTGTTCTTGCTCTTTCCTCCTCTTTCAAATTAGAATTCTGATTAAAAATTTTTATTGTTCTTATAGTGTAAATCTCTCCTTTCCATTTTTGTGCCTTCCTGTTCTCTTATGTGATTTGTTATTCTTTCAAAGTCGTCTTCAGCGGGGTTTGTTTTTAGAGTCCTTATATTCTAGATGAGCAAATATCCCTGTAACTTGGCTTTGAATTTCCCTCTATCAGCTTAGCTTACCTGCTACACTATGAAAGATGGCGTAGTGTCTCTGAACCATTCTGGATGAGATGAATGTGGACCCTTCCTCCATGTATTTGGATTACAAGGTGGTCTCTCCACCTCAGCACTGGTCTCTTACCAGAGGCCGTGAGAGGGGTTTTTGCAGCCTGTGTTTGGTAGTTCATGACTCACGTGTGCATCCACTTCTAGCTGCGAGGCTCTTTTGGTTTCTTTTTCTCTTTGTGGCTCTCACTCAGAATTTCGAGTCATTCTTAGTACTAGGGCATTTCTCCTGAGTTCGAGTTTACTGATTATTTCTGTAGTCATATTTTATTTCTCATTTTAATGGATTTAGAGGAGAAAACTAGGCTTAATACTCCTGGTTGACCTGCATTAATTTGAAGTTTCAATTTAAGTAGTCCTGATTTTTTTTAAGAAAAATTTGTTACTTTAAATATAATAATATATTTCTTAGATTTCTCTTAACCAAGTAATCTTAAAATAATGAAAGTTTTTCTTAAAGGTAAGGCCATTTTAAGAAAGTATGTGGTGCTGTCTGTCCTTACCCTCCTCCACCCAGTCCTCATTAGGGTAGGGAAGTAGGTGTTCATGTTATTTCTGAATCATGTACCAAAGTGGGGGAAATCCCTCAGTAAGCCTCCTTGACAACTCTTTGATAGAACTTCAGAAAAGCCAGTATGGTTTGGAAATGGGAGAGAAAGATGTGTATCGTGGTGTGAATCTTTACAAGGGAAACAGACAGGACTAGAGTTTAGTGCACTAGGCTAACTGCTCCCTCGGCTGTTGTGAAGCCAGCTAAGATGCTGACCATGTGGAGGTAACTGTATTTCTTTCCTGCTTCTGGGAGCATACAGACTTCTGTGTGTATGCTGCAGGTGATGATTGGAAGGAAATACTAAAAGTAAAAAGATTGAATGATGATAGTGAACTTCTTCCTTTTAAAACATTTCCCTTAAAATCATTCTTATTTAATTGGATCAAGAAATAGTCATGCTTTTTGCTAATGGAGACCAAATAAATCCCATATTTCTGGTGGTATTGGTACCGAGTGCATGACTGAGTTGTGAGCTGGCTCCCCACAGACTAACACCCAGCCCAGGCAGGCCTCCCTGACCCTGGCCACTCTAGTCAGCAGGAGACAGGACCCACCTGTCTAAGGATGCACGGTTGGAACTTGTGTTCTCCATAAGTAGGATAATCCTGGAGCTCTTTGCTCTTGCCTAGTTTACTGTTAGATGACTTACTTCATGGAAGATATGAGTAAGGAGCCATGGAAAACCAGGGCAGTGCTTACCTTCCTACTAGAGGTAGGAAGAGGCAGGGAGTTCTAATAGCTCTGTTCATTTTCAACTAAAAATGTTGTGTGTGCTTTGGCAAACATTGATTATAATGTAATTGCCAAAATTTAATTACTTTTATTTTGTTAGAATTTTGTTATTATTTGTCAAGTTTTATTTTCTGCTTTTAGGCGTTTAAATGCAGAATTGGAGGCAAAAACTGCTGATCTGGTTAGACAAGCTGATGAAGCAATAGTAAGTAGATGTACAATTTTTCCATGTAAGTGCTAATTTTTTAACTTTAAATTTAATTCATAACATGAGTATAAAAATACCCAAAGCATTAAATAAATAAATAAACATATCCAAAGCATCAATGATCAACTTAGTGAGTGACAAGCTAAACTTGAATGTGTGTGCATAGGTGTAGTTCTAATGTGTGTGATAAAAGTTGTTTCTGTTTAGGTGCTCCAATCATGTAATCAATAAGAACATCAATGTCAGTCATTTTTTGAGATTTTCTATGTAGTAAGTTAGCACCGAAAATTTAGTAGAGTTGAAAGTAACAGTGCCTAAATAATGCAATACTAAGCTGTTTTCTACATATAACTGAGCTTCTTAGGGCTAGATTACATACCCGGGAAAAATGTAAGGTCATCTCACCAGCCCATGTATCTAAATATCAGCCTCCGTTCTGGTATCAGATTGGGCATCCGTTCTTCAAGCATTGCTCCCTCAGCACCAGTGTTCCCAATGCTAGCATACAGCCTTCCCAGAGGAGTCAGGAAACTGCCTCAGACTTCACAGCTCTTGTCCTGATCTCACTCATTCTTTCTTTAATCCCATTGCTCCCCAAAATGGAGCTGATGGAGGCAGGAAAGAAATTCTAATAATATCATATTATTTTTCATGATTTGTTTTTATTTTGTGTGTGTGTGTATGTCTGTGTCTGTGTCTATGTCTGTGTGTACATGAGACTCACAGAGACCAGAGATGTCAGATCCCCTGGATCTGGAGTTACAGGTTATTGACTGTGATCTTCCTGACATGGGTGCTGGCAACCAAACATGGGTTCTCTGCGAGAGTAGTAGGTGCCATTAATTCTTCACTGAGACATTTCTTCACTTAATATTTTATTTTGATGCTTCATATAAATTCATAATTATTTATCAGTTGAGAATTAAGAAATGTAGCATCTATAACATTTCACTTAATATCTAATAGTTGCAGAACTTCTAGTTGTGTTTATAATTAAGTATTTTACTGGAAATATTTAATTTCATTTTACAGTTTTGCCAGTATCTGAAAAGAAGGAAAATCTTTGTTCAGAAGGACAGCATGTCATGGTAGAATGAGAGGTGCATTTTGTATGTGCTTAAGGAGTTCCCTAAAGAGAACCTTTATTTCCACACCAGGAAGAACAGAATAAAAACTGAGGGGGTTTTGAAGGGGGAAGACACCTTTCTTCCCCCAGAAGCGAGTGGAATGTACTTTTGCCATCTTCAATTTGCATTTCCCCTTCTCTTCTTTAATGGCTCCTCACTGAAGCCTTTACTATCGCTGCTTCACATAGACTGCGGGGCCGGGTGTGTGTGAAGATTAAGGGGACCTTAACACTCTCATATTTTTATCTTTGAAGTAATTTTCTTATACATGAGCAAAAGAGAAGCAAAAGCATAGTCAGTATTTATTTGTTACTGTGTAGCTTTTCTGATGTTGTGGCGACCCGGGACAGCTCTGAAATGATGAGCTTTTAGAGAGGTGTTAAACTGGACGTCATGGGTGATGTCTTGAATATTCACAACTTATCCTGTCTAACCAGAGAGATCAGCAAGAAGTACGAGCTAGGCTTTTTTCAACAAAAATTACCTCATGCAAAGAGGAAGATGGTTCCAGTACAAGGTATGTGACTTCAGTTCTCAAACATGGTTTCTGTTCAGTAATCCTTGTAAAACGTCAATGTATAAAGATTTTTTTGAAAATGTTAAAGTATAATTCAGGGAAGAGTATAATATGTAAAATTATAATTGGGGCTTTCCTAGTCAGACACAAGGCAAGGTTTTACCTGTTTTATCTCATGTAATTCTCCAGGTATTATTTGAAAATAGACAGTATTGTCTTCATTTAAAAACTGTAGCTTAGGAAAGGTTAGTGCTGGGCAAAGGTCAAACAGAGTAGTTTCCCTGGGGTTCACCCCACAGCCATGTGAAAGATTTCTAAAGTCTTTTTTATACACTCTACTGCCTGTCTTTTAGAGCTGTGTGAAGGCTGGGTGGTGAGAAATTAATACAGATACATTTTTAGACTTCTTGTACATTTTTGGCAAATCAAGAAATTAGGCAACCATAAAATATTAGTAATACATTTAACAAAAGTATGGGTTCTATGTGAGTAAAATTGTTTTACTGAAGCAGAGGCAGTGATGGCCCCAAACAGCCCATTCTATGGCTTTGTCTTCTGAGAACTCAACAGCTGTTTCAAGCATTACAAAACAAAATTCTAGCCACACCTGTAGGTGGAGGCTGCTTGTTCGTCCTGGCCACTTATCCCTGAAATAATCACACAGAAACTGTATTAATTAAATCACTGCTTGGCCCATTAGCTCTAGCTTCTTATAGCTCTAGCTTCTTAGTGGCTAACTCATATATATTAATTTAACCCATTTCTATTAATCTGTGTATTGCCACGTGGCTGTGGCTTACCAGCTAAAGTTCCAGTGTCCATCTCAGGCAGGGCTACATGGCTTCTCTGACTCTGTCTCCTGTCTCCCAGCATTACATTTAGTTTTCCCTGCCTACCTAAGTTCTGCCCTATCAACAGGCCAAGACAGTTTCTTTATTAACCAATGGTATTCACAGCATACAGAGGGAAATTCCACATCATCTCCCCTTTTCTGTTTAAGTTAAAAGGTTTTAACTTTAACATAATAAAATTACATGTAACAAAACAGGTATCAAGCAAGAATTACAGTTGCAATATTTATATCTACTTTATCTCTTATATCTGAGGAAAACTATAATTACAACTATAAATTTTTCAACTCCATCAAAGACTCCAGAAGGATATAATATTACCTAAGTAAACAGGTACATTGTAAAACTTCCAAAACTCTAGAATTGACAGAGACATCTTGCTACCTGGACAGTCATTCAAAGTTCTTTTGTATTGTTAGGGCATCCATCTTCAGCCTACAGGCCTATAGCATCCACAGACTTTTCCATGAAGCAGGAAATTTCAAAGATAGTTCCACCTATATTGGAAGTTTGTCAGTCACTTTCTTCTGATTCCTGCAGAATGTCTAGCAGACTCTATTCTTTCATGAAGCAGGAACCCTGAAGGATTGTCTCATTTCTAGGCAAGTTCAACAGTCATTTCTCTGTGGGTCCTGCATGTCAAGTTAATCAAGAAGTCCAGGCAAGAGCAGTTTCTTGCCCAAATGGCTAACCAACTCCGTAAGGAGCCTCTTTGATGCCCATCTTCCTCTCAAAGTAGATTGGTGCTGCCAGGAGAAGATGTGTCTCACTGTCATGAAAAGTCCTAAGTTCTTAAAACATTTTAAATGCCATATTATGAAGGTCTCTGAAAGATTTGAAGAATAATCTATCTAGAAATATATCTGAAATATATCTAGATAGAAAATCTAACTAACATGAATACAAGCTTGACTATTATAGATGACTCTCTATTTACCTATATTTCTCAATTATACATTACATTTTATTTTTTTTCAAAGTTTATTAAATTATAAAAGTTTCCATTTCTGCCCCTCCTCCCAACACCCTCCCACTCCCCCCACTTCCTCTTCTCCTCCCTCTCCATCCCTAAGAGCAGTCAGGGTTTCCTGCCCTGTGGGAAGTTCAAGTTCCTTCCCCCTCCCTCCAGGTCCAGGAAGGTGAGTATCCAAACAGACTGGATCCCAAAAATCCAGTATATGCAGAGGAAACAAGTCCCAGTGTCATTGTCAATGGCTTTTCAGAAAGACTCCAGGCCAGCCACATTCAGAGAATCCGGCCACATTCAGAGAATCTGGTTGGATCACGTGCTTGTTCAGTCCCAGTCCAACTGGCCTTGGTGAACTCTCATTAGATCAGTCCCCTTGTATCAGTGGGTGATCGCACCCCTCGCGGTCCTGATTTCCTTTTTCATGTTCTTCCTCCTTCTGCTCCTCATTTGGACCTTGGGGGGCTCAGTCCGGTGCTCCAATGTGGGTCTCCATCTGTATCGCCGTCCATCGTCAGATGAAGGTTCCCTCTGGTCTTGCCTTCTTTGCTCACGTTCTCTTTCCTTCTGCTTCTCGTTTGGACCTAGGGAGTTAAGTCCAGTGTTCCAATGTGGGTCTCTGTCTCTATCTCCATCCATCGCCAGATGAAGGTTCTGGCACTCTTGTCTATTTCCAGTCTCCAACCCAGGATAGCCAAAACAATCTTATATAATAAAGGAACTTCTGGAGGTATAACCATCCCTGACTTCAAACTCTATTACACAGCTACAGTATTGAAAATAACTTGGTACTGGCATAAGAACAGAGAAGTCGACCTATGGAATCGAATAGAAGAACCAGATATTAACCCACAAACCTATGAACACTTGATTTTCGACAAGGGGGCTAAAGGTATTCAATGGAAGAAGGAAAGCATCTTTAACAAATGGTGCTGGCATAACTGGATGTCAGCCTGTAGAAGAATGAAAGTAGATCCATATCTATCACCATGCACAAAAATCAAGTCCAAATGGATTAAAGACCTCAACATTAATCTGACCACTTTGAACCTGATAGAAGAGAAAGTGGGAAGTAGTCTACAAGACATGGACACAGGAGACCACTTCCTAAGCAGAACCCCAGTAGCACAGACAATCAGAGAATCAATGAATAAATGGGACCTCCTGAAACTGAGAAACTTCTGTAAAGCAAAGGACACCGTCAGTAAGATAAAAAGGCTACCTTCTGACTGGGAGAAGATCTTCACCAACCCCTCATCAGATAAAGGCCTGATCTCCAAAATATACATTACATTTTAAATGAACTACACAATCACAATACCTTAATCAAGAGAATAAATATAACAAGATTGACCTTAAATTTGCATCAATAAACCAAGATCCATACTGATGAAAATCTTTATAGTATATCCCCTTTTAAATATAAAGAAACATTTATAGACAATATTGGGAATATGGGTATAGTTCTGTCCAAACTTCTTCCTGCTGTTTATTGGGTGGAGTAATTTTTTAGGTGTGTTCAAGACAACCTTTCAGGGGATCTTGGTCCATCAAACCATATCAGTCTGGAAGCAATCCACAGGTTCTCATCCTCTGTGGAAAGAAAAGAAGAACCTCTTTTCCAAAGCAACATATCCTTAGTTCCATATTTTGAAATCAAGACGCCTTTAAAATATACATGCTGGTTTAGCTTAGCAGTCCATACAATGAAATGCCTCTCTGTACTTAGCTCCTTCACAGTCAAAAAATTCAAAGAAAACACAATAGTATACACAATCCAGACTCTCTGTGAATTTTCCATTGTTACATGGCTTATTGTTCTTTCTCTATTACTTTTTAATATTTATTTCATTATCTTTATTCCTTTAATCTATGACTATCTGTACTTTGTCTCTTTAAAGACTTTACCTCTTTTTTGAAACCATTTGCTTCTTTTTATGACTATCTATATTCTTCTTTTTCTCTCTAGCCTATGTATATTTATCCAGCACTGTAACTCATTTAGAGATCTTTTATGACTGAATCTGTCCTATTGTGTATCTGAAATACTTTACTGTCTTGAAGAGCTTTTAAAATGGTAAGCAGCTTGGTTGCAGCAGCTCTGGATGCTGGCTCCACCTCTCTCTACTTTCAAAGTGGTGGGGGTACCATTACTGCCAGCTCTGGGGTCACCAGGTAGGTACTGTGCTCAGCACTTTAACTCTGAGAATGAGCATGCAGCACATAAATCCTTTTTTTCTGAGTAAGAGCTAAATATGCCATGCAGAGCATTGTGCAGCCTGGAAAAATCTCTGTGTATGGCAGCAGGAATCTGCCATGTCCTCCTGCCTGTGCAGTCCTTGCAGTCCTGATCCTACTGCCTGCCCAGGCAGGGGAGTGGGATGCTGAGCTACTGGCATGGTCTCAGCTACTTTCCCAAGTGGGTATACAAGCCCCCAGGCCCACAAACCCCATTCAAGTGCTCCATAGCCAGATCTCTAGAAAGAGTCAGAGTTCGCGCCAGCAGCACAGCACAGAAAGCCAGCATTTCAAAACTGCTGCTTTTTTTTTCTTGCTACCGCTGAATCAGGAAAACCTCTTAAAGGAGCCACAGTGTGCCACCAGCAAGCAAAGCCCATTCGGGAAAATAAATGCAACTAAACTTTGTTTTTTTAGTGTCTAGAATTCCTTTTCAAGCCCTCTCAGGTTTTATGTGGATTTAGTCCACCTAAATCCACCACGCTGGTATGCCAGTTTGTTGGTGGAGGCTGCTTGTTCGTCCCAGCTGCTTAGCGCCGAAATAATCACACAGAAACTGTATTAGTTGAATCACTGCTTGGCCCATTAGCTCTAGCTTCTTATTGGCTAACTCATACTTATTAATTTAACCCATCTCCATTAATCTAGTATTGTCACATGGCAGTGGTTTACCAGCAAAATTTCAGCATGTCTCTGGCAGAGTCTCCATGGCTTCTCTCTGACTCCAATAGGGTGATCACATCTCCCTCTGGTGGAGGTTATCTGGCATCTCTGTGACTCTGTCTCCTTTCTCCCAGCATTCTGTTTAGTTTTCCCTACCTACCTAAGTTCTGCCCTATCAACAGGTCAACAACATAGCATACAGAGGGAAATCCCACATCATACCCACAGTTTCTGTTCAGTGGGATTCTCTTCTTGTTTCCAATGAGCACCACACTCCACAACCAAGTCTACAGTTCTTTATGAAGCTTGTTCTTCAACATCCAGAGGGTGCCAGGCACTCTTCTCTCAAGCAGCTAACACTTTTCTGTTAACAGCTCTTGCAGAGGACCCTGGTTCCCACCTCAGCCCCCACATGGCTTGTCTCACAACACCTGCAACTCCAGCTTCAAAAAAAGTCATGCCTCTAGCCTTCAGGGGCAGTAACACTCACATACCCGTACCCACCCCCACACATACACAATTAAAAATAATAAATATCAAAATAAAGATCTTTTTCAAAACATCTGCTAGCTGCCTATCACTGTGAGGTATACATTACTAACTGTTGGTACACTTCCATCACACTGCAACACACTGCAACACAGCTATTGTGACCGGGATCCTCTGTATAGTGAAGAACATGCTTTCTACAGTGAAGAAAGAACTCTGGATGCAGTGGTGTGTGGTACTCTCTGGAACCAAGGAAGAGAGAATCTGGATGTGACTGGAATTACACTGTGTAACTCTCAAAACAACTGAATTCTCAAAAGAAGCTTAAAGGCATGGGCTGTTAGAGGACTGTCACTACCTGTTACTTTGAGTTTTTCTTTCTAGTAAATCAATAAAAGTATATTTTGTTTCATTATTTGCTATGTGCATATGTTCATATAATGGTAAATCACTTATCTGCATCATATGTGATTCTATCTGATGGTTGATTAAAAAAAGGATACTTAATAGCTACCCAAATTCCAAAGGTTGGATTACAGATAAGATTGGGCCTGGCTTTTATCCATTAAATGAAAGAATTGAGATGCGGTACTGGCAGCTAATCCTTAGTTCCTAATGAAGTAAGCCGAAGACTGATTTTAAAAGTGTAAAAATGAACCTGCTGATTTTCTTTTACTGAGTTTTTCTCATGTCCAAAGTGGTGATGAGACCTCTGTTTAACTGGTACAAGTGGATTTTTTAACACTTACTTTTTTTGTTTGTGTCTCTGTGTGCCCACATCTCTGTGTGCACACATGCATACAGTGTGGAAGTCAGATGACAATCGGTGGCACTTGGTGCTCTCCCTCCACTGTGTGAGCCCCAGGGATTGAACTCCAGGCATCAGGCTTAACAGCATGTGCCTTTACCTTGTAAGATATCTTGTCAAACCTGGAATATTTTCTTTTTCTTTTTTTTTTCAAGACAGTGTTTCTCTGTGTAGCCCTGACTGTCCTGGAACTCACTCAGTAGACCAGGCTGGCCTTGAACATAGAGATCCACCTGCCTCTGCCTACCAACTGCTGGAATTAAAGGTCTGTGCCACCACCACCCGGCTTCTGGAATATTTTCTTAATGTAGCTGTTTCAACAGGTGGCTTTTATCATATGAAACATGACATTTGATTTATTGGGATTCTTAAAGATGAGAGATAAGTCTATAAAGAGACCATCCATTTCTTGTTGGAACAGTAGTAATGTTTTTAAGACTCAAGCAGTGTATTCAATGATAGCTCTTCAGATCTGTGGTTACTCTGTCAGAAAGACAGTAAGGAAACTAGAACTTAGTTTCCTTTAGTATAACATCCAAATCCTCTAGTGTGCTGAAAGCGAGTTTACTGCCCAGATCATCTCAGTCACACTTCAGACAAACCATTCATGAAGTTTAACATGAGTCAGAACGTTGTGCTGCAGTGTTTCTTGCGTGGGAGTGCACCAGGAGAAGTGGCGTGCACACCTCATGGTGATGGGCAGCTGGCAGACATTTTTTAAAAGTTCTTCATTTTAATGTGTATTATTTTTGATTATGTGTGTGAGTGTGGGTATCTATGCATGTCACTGCCTGTGGAGGACAGAGGCATCAGGTCCCCTGCTAGGGCTGCAGGGTGTTAAGAGCTTTCCAGCTTGGGTGCTAAGAACTGAACTCTGGTCTAGTGCTCTAAGCTGCTGAACCTTCTCTCCAGCCCCTGGTAGATACTTTTAGCTGTATACATGCATGTGGGAGAGGTGGGTGGTGGGTGGAAGGAAATGAAAAGTTCAGGGAACATGCTAAGGGCTAATGAAATGGCAGGCTTTAGCTTGAAATAAGGACAGTTCAAGATACTTACGTTGAATCTTGGAAACATTTTTTTTAATATTTATTTATTTATTATGTATACAATATTCTGTCTGTGTGTATGCCTGCAGGCCACAAGAGGGCACCAGACCCCATTACAGATGGTTGTGAGCCACCATGTGGTTGCTGGGAATTGAACTCAGGACCTTTGGAAGAGCAGGCAATGCTCTTAACCTCTGAGCCATCTCTCCAGCCCCCTTGGAAACATTTTTATATCATGTGTGAAAAGGTTATTTTCCATAAATTAAGATATTTTCAAAGTTACTTTTCTTTCACGGAGATTTTTCTAGTAGATAGGATCTAAATATGCCTTCAAGTTAAATAGCAAAAAACCTGCAGATGGCCAGGCAAAAAGGTGACATCTGACAGAAAGTCATTTTGTTTTGTGTCCTCTACAGTGAGCAGTCATTCCTCGGGAATATGTTGGCATTCTCTCTATAGTAGCAATAGACAATAACACAGTATCATCCATGATACTAATATAGATGCTTCAGATAGTGAATCAGTGGCAGGAACTTTCTATGGAAAGGGGCAGATAGCAAATGTTTTAGAATTTGTGGGCTTAGATAGTCCCCATCACAACCACTCAATTCTGCTGTTGTAGAGAGTGGGCATGAGTAGATCCAGCCTGTTGATGAGCCAGTGTATGCATACACCTACAGATATGCCTCGTTTTAAAGTACAGTCATACTTTGTAAACTTAAGATACAAGGTTCAGGAAATAAGATGGATTTTAATTTATCCATTCACTCATTCAATGTCTATTTACTTTTGTCACTTTAAAAAATTTATGTGTGAATTGCTATGTCAGATTCATAGCATTACACAATAGGAAAGGCAGGTTGGACCCAACTTTCATGAGTTCATACTTTTACAAGACAGATCCTGACCAAGTGTTCAAGTACATTAGAATGGTGATGTTGAACATGCTTACAAGTGAAAGTGATGCAAGGGTTATTTGTTTTGTTATTATTTAGCGTGTGTGTATGTGTGTGTATGCTCATGTGCGTCACCATGCATATATGGAGGTTAGAGGACAACCTGTTGGAATTAGTCTTCTACTATGTGGGTCCTATGGGCTCAAACTCAAATGGTCAGGCTTTGTGCATTTACATGCTGAGCCATCTTACAAGCTCTGATTCCTTTAAGAAATGCATAGATCACGCAGGCCAACATCCTGGGTCTTGGGTTGGCTCATCTAACATCTTACCTACCCATGACCTTCTGGAGTGCATGAGGTCCTATATGATGATAGCTACAGAATCTCCATGACTCAAGGCAACAGCAGGATATCTGAGAGGAGTTTCAGTGAGGGTCCAGTGATGATGGTGTGCCAGAGGCTTTGAACCAGACCAATGACTCATTGCAATGAACACTTGCGGGAAGGGCTGATTGGGCAGGAGGGTCTACTGTGTGAAACATTGCAGTTTCCAGTGCCACTAGGAGGAATAAAAAGGTGTTGAAGAGGTAAGAAAGATGGAGGAGTGAGGTGGGTTTTGTTTTGTTTTTAATTAATTTTGGGGGTGTCTTTTGGTGGTGGGATGCTGCAGGCGTGACAGGCAGATGTGGAGAGACAGGGAAGTGAACAGGATTGGGTGCATGATGTGAAATTTCTAAAGAATCAATAAAGAATTTGATAGTTCTCTGTGTAGCCAGTCATCATCAATCATCAGTATGATTTATACTAATAAAAATTTGTACTACATTTTCCTAAAAAAAATACTGCTATACCTTCTCTGTAGTGAAATATTTAAACCTAAGCATTTTTTAATGGCCTTCATTCAAAGTAAATTAATGTCTAGGAACTAGAATCAAAGTGAAATATAATTCTTTGTGCATATAAACTTATTAAATATATACATTATGTCTAGATATAACTTATGTGGAAATCAACTTTATAATTCATGTATCAAGTTAATGTATGACTAATTGGAATTAGAACAATATTTCCTCTTTAGAATATAATTACTGTTGACTTTCATGGTGTCTCAGCTTAATAGCATCTATTTTAATGTAGTGATTACTTTTGCTTTGTAGAGATCTGTTGTCATCTGAAGGGATGGCTCATCCATGGTCAGAAACCAAGGTATGAAATCAAACTTTTGGGACTTTAATTAATAAAAAAAATTATTTGTGCCACAGCGTGCATATGAAAGTCAGAGGACAACTTGTGGGGGGTCAGTTCTCCCATCCACCATATAGACTCTGGGAATTGAACTCCCCATACTTGGCAGCAAGCATTTTTATCTTATTAGCCATCTGCCTGGCCCCTAGGATTGTTTTTTGTTTTAAAAAAAAATTAGGGAAAGAGTATGACTCTATAGATAGAATGTAAAACTCAGATGTGATATGCTCATTCAGCATTGTTTATAAAAGATCTTGAATAACTTCTGCCCTCTAATCCCACTGAATATTTGGAGGATAGTGAACAAAGTTCTGAAGGAATGACTCTATAGAATTAGGCTCCTCACTTCTCTGTGAACCAATATCCCGTAAAGTGAGATAAGTCCTGTGGTAGTCTGAAAGAAAATGGCCCCAACGGCAGTGGCACTGTTAGGAAGTGTGTCACTGTGGGGTGGGCTCTGAGGTCTCTTACTCAAGCTTCTCTCGCTGTAGCTCTCATTTGACTTCCTGTTGCCCATAAGATGTAGCACTCTCAGCTCCAGCACCACATCTGCCTGTGTGCTGCCATCTCCACCATGCTGATGATGAACTGACTCTGAAACTAAACGAGCCATCCCAGTTAAATGCTTTCTTTATAAGGATGCAGTGGTCACGGTGTCTCTTCAGCAACAGAAACCCTAACAGGTCCTCATCTAAAAAGCATAGGATGGAGATCATTCTTTTGCAAACTGGGCACCCTGAGATCTCTAAGTTTCCATCCACAAAGCTCCTCTAATCAAGGGAACTGCAAACCTCAAGGCCAGGAAAGGGCTGCTTGGCACATGGCTGGCTAATGAGGAAAACTGAATTCTGTGAATCAGAACATCCTGATTTAAACATTCACTAGCTGACTGAATAAACATTCATCTTTGGGATTCATGTTCTATATTCCTGATTCCCTTAGTCCAGGTGATTTTTAGGTGTTTTCTGCACAGTTCTGGGATTCCTGAAAATGCAATTGAATTAATTATTTAAAAATGCCAATTCTTATTTGTAGCAAAATAACAGTTCCATATGTTACAAAATTGTTGGGATTGGAGAAATGGCTCAGTGTTTAAGAGCTCTGGCTGCTTGTCTAGAATAGCCAAGTGTAATTCCCAGCGTCTGTAACTCCAGTCTCAAGGTATTTGATGCCCTTCTCTAGCCTCCAGGGTACCAGGTATGCATGTGGTGCACAGACATGCATGTAGGCAAAATACTCATACACATAAAAACCAAAAAACAAAATTAAACGAAGCAAAATTTCTGTTGTTAGAAATGATTAGACTCAGTGGTTAAGAGCACTGGCTGCTCTTCCAGAGGACCTGGGTTCAATTCCCAGCACTCACATGGCAGCTCACAACTGTCTGTAACTCCAGTTCCAGGGGATCTCACACAGAAACAACAATGCACAGGGAAAAAATGTTGTAAAAAGAAGAAATGATTAAATTCTTAATTAATTGGTAGTTTCAATTTTTTTTCTCTAGCCAAAGACCAAAAACACTGGTCCTGTAAACAAGGTTCAAAACAGACTCCACTCTGCAGAAAAAGAAAGAAAAACAAATTCAAGGTAAATATAGTTTGCAAACATGACTCTCCTTAGTTTTACAGTCCACAGTATCAGCATTCTTAGTTATAAACTTTCTGTTTCTCTTGATTTTTTTTTTTAAAAAAATCTCCAGTATAAAGCCACTGTATCCCATGTATCCCATCATACTCGGTAATTTAAAACAATTGCACTCAGAACTGTTTACAGCAGTTAATAAACATTTTGTGTTCTCTAAAACAAAATCACTACCTTTCCATAAATTTTACTGTTGTTTTTAATGAGACATTATTGGAACTGGGGCTGAAATCTGGGTTTTATTTTGTCTAAATATTAAAAAAAATATGCATGTATGTGTTTGTGTGACTCTATGCTACCTGTGTGCATGTGCCCTTCCAGACCAGAAAAGGGGGTCCGAGTCCTCAGAACTGGAGTCACGGAGTTACAGGTGGTTGTGAGCTGCCATGTAGATGCTGGGAACCAAACTTAGGTCCTCTGCAAGAACAAGTGCTCTTAAATATTAATCTTTCTAGCCCCTGGGGCCTGGGTTAGGTTCTTGTAAATAGATCAAATTGTTTTCTACCTTTCGACTGCTCGACAGAATGCCATACATTATTGTGTTTGTGAGATTGGAGTGGTTTGATAAGATATAAATTAGGTTATGTCATAGTTATTATTTACATTCTGCTCGGGCTTATGAATTTTTGTTTTGTTTTGTTTTTTTTTGAGACAGAGTTTCTCTGCATAACAGTCCTGGCTGTGCTGGAACTTGCTTTGTAGGTCAGGCTGACCTTGAACTCGCTGAGATCCACCTGCCTCTGCCTTCCGAGTGCTGGAATTAAAGGAATGCGCCACTATCCGGTGAATTTTTTTTTTTATTAAAAGGAAAAGACTTTGGTTGTAATAGCCAGTAAGTTATTTAATCTTTATGTCTATGACCTACACAAGCTGGTAATTATATTCTATTAATGGGTAAATCTTTTCTAACTATTGTGTATTTTAATTGCTTAAAAGGGAAAAAAATAGAATTGAAGGGATAGAAGATAAAATTAATAAAAAGAGCCTGAAGAGACCATCAGCTAAATTGCATGTATCACTACAGAATTTCCTGGTCCAGGCTTCACAGTCACTGTTTAAATAAAAGGTGGTTATTACAAGAATTCAGAAGCATTTGCCTTCGTGTTAAAAGTAAGCCGAGCTTTCCGAATCACAGTATTGGTGACATTCAATGTGTTTGCCCTGATTCAGGCCACTGTGCCTTTGGAAGTGAGTTTTATTCCCTAATTCTTCCTCAACGTTAATGTTAAAAAGTTAAACCTGGTATTTTGGTCAATTTTGATTCTTGTTTCCCTACATGGAAAATAAATGTTGAGTTTGATGGCATTGAGGACCTGGTAATTCTTTCTTAAGAGATGAATTCTTCCCAGTTTTCAGTGTCAGGACATTCATTACCTTGGGCAGTTCTCCAGCAGCAGGCAGAATGAAAACTGTAGCCCGGATCTGACCGGTAGTCCTGGACTTCTTCTCGTAAAGACTGATGGCTACTGAGACTCTAGAGCAAAGTCCTTAAACGTTCCATTGTAGATTTCATCTTAAGTTCAGTTTTATAGCAGGTTTATCTGCTTTGTTTTTGGGCAAATCTCCATCCCCTCCCCCACCATCCCGTTTCTGCTCACGTGTGTGTGCATGTTTTGCTTCTTAGTGTTAAGCTGAAATACCCCAGTGTGCAGACTGCCAATGATGTGGCCATCCCAGACGATTTCTCAGACTTCTCCCTTGCCAAGACAATTAGCAGAATTGAAGGGCAACTGGAAGAGGACAGCTCGCCAGGGCACACCGATGATGACATTCTTTGTGGGGTCAGTAAGGACATTGGGACAGGTAGGTTTTCTTTTAGCATTACAGATACTCAGAGATTTGGGAGAGCTATTTCTTTAAATTTTTATTATGAATATTGATTTGTGTCTAGATAATAATCTAGAGAGATGTAGTGAATGGAAGGAAGATTCTAGGTAAATTTAAATTGGCCAAATACTTGTTGACCAAGGGTGGTGGTTTGAGTTCACTGAACTTGCCTCTACTTTCTTTCTTTTTCTTTCTTTCTTTTTTCCTTTCTTTTCTTTTTTCTTTTTCTTTTTCTTTTCCTCTTTCTTTTCTTTTTCTTTTTCTTTTTTTTTTTTCAGACAGGGTATCTCTGTAGCTTTGGAGCCTGTCCTGGAACTTACTCTGTAGATCAGGCTGGCCTCAAACTCAGAGATCTGACTGTCTCTACCTCCTGAGCACTGGAATTAAAGGCATGTGCCACCACTGCCCGGCTTTTGCCTCTACTTTCATCTCTGTTTGATATTTTATATTATAAAAAGTCATGACTATAGTATTGCTTTGAGTTTATTTCAACTGAAATTAAAATGTCCCATAGTTTATCACTGAATAAAGTTTGAGTTCCTTTTATTTATTTTTATTATATTCTGTTTCTTATATGTTAAATCAATACATTGAAAAGGGTAAATGAATTGATAAAGCAACAGATAAGTAATGAAATGAGTTTTTATGAATATAATTTTTCCTGGTTAACTTATACTCTGCATGTAACTAGAAAAAAAACTGTTTTAATCATCTAAAAGAATTGTATTTGTTAGCAGCAATGTCTCTAAAATTACTGAAATTATGAGGAGCCACCTGTGCTGTTGGAACAAAAAACCAGAACAATTGGAATGTGTGAGCATAGTTACTGTGAGCTGTCATTTGGCTGTATAATGAATTTGGGTGTGCAGTGTAGTCAGCTGTGACTCCAGTCTGGCTACCTAACTCCTCTGTGATAGCAGTTTCTCCATTTGAGAATCAGAGTTGGTTAAATGATGTCTTGAACACAATGTATGCATCACAAGAGGCTGACAGTGTGTACTTTTCACATACACAGTTTATTGTTCACACATTAAAAGTGGGGAGGGGCAGAAAACTCACAGCAAATGAATCTTAACTACCTAGCTCTAAGTGATGCTGCTGGTGTCTGGAGATGGGATTCACTCAGACAGTGGCAGTAGTAGCATGAAATAGGTTTCAGGTCTTATAGCCCAGTGCACAACAAACCACCGTGACTGCATCCACTGGTGGAGGAAGATCAGGGAGTGGGTGCTAGCTCTGAGGCAGATGATTCTTCAAAGCTCTGTTGCTTGAGCTCAGTAGAGACCAGAGTCCAGAAAGGCATGCTTCAGTTGTGCTTAGCCATTCAGACAGGGTGCCAGTCAGTCAGCGATCACCAATGTCACGGAAATAGTCCCTTATTGCTAGCACTGTAGTCTATGTGCAGTGGGGTACATTGGAGACCAGCCACTGTTGAGCTGCCTGGTCCTTCTGTGACTTGTCTTCTCCTTGCAGACATTTTAACCCCTGCTTCTGATTGCTGTGAATCGCCTGCTCCCAGGGCTTTGCTACTTACACTCAGGTGCTTGCTTCTGCCATCAGCATGCTCTGATTGTCACGATGATTAGTAGGAGTGCCTCCATCTTATTTTCTTCTTTTTAGTTCTGAGTGTTCCCTACAGATGATCATAAAGTTTATCTCTGAAATTCTGCTTCTCTGAAGAATCCTAACAGGTTGTGTATAATGATGATTGAGCTACACCCTAGTCAGCCACAGAGGAAAGCAATTCATTTATGCATTTGTAGCATTTATTGACCTAATCAACCCTCTGGGATCATTAGAGGGAAGGACAGTAAGTGAATCAGGAAGTTGGTTGTCAGCTACCTTCCAGGACATGCTGGGCAGATGCTTGTTCCTGGACTCAGTCACCCACTGCCCTGTTACAGGCCAGAGATGCAGAAATTCAGGAGCAGCTGCAGACTTTACCATGAACAGTGCTCCTTCCTGCGGCCACTCACTGTCTCCATATCTTCCCTCCTCAGCTGCTTGCCTGGGCGTCTTGTCCCAGGGAGAATATTCCTGTACTCCAGATGCTTACTTGCTGGGTTGTGGGTGGGATAGAATGATCTGGAGTCAGTTTGGAAGCACAGATCATAAGATCTGAAGCTTTATTTTTTGCTAGAGAGGGTCTGCTTGTTCCTGTCAAATTCTTGGGCATTTATTAGCTTGAGACCACTATAAATTCTAGTAGATATCTTTTGGATCACTGTGGTAGGTGTGAGTGCAGTCTATAAACGTATACAAGCAGCAGTTTTTAGGTGTGGTTCTTAGGAAGAAGGGTTTTTGTCCTTGTTCCTCTGTCTTTACTGACTCTCCATGGTCTGTGTGAGACCTGTCGCTGTTCTTTTCTGTTGTCTGACCTGGGAAATGTTTAATGTTTATAGTGTTTCTACCACGGTCTCCTGTTAGATTGTCTACTGTGACTATATTTTACTCATAATGTATGATCTGTCGCCCAGTTGATAATATCTTAGACTTGGGGGGAAAAAAAAGCAGTCATGTAACAATTTGACTCCACAGAGGCTCAGATCAGATTTCTAAAGGCCAAACTCCATGTGATGCAGGAGGAACTGGACAGCGTTGTGTGTGAATGCAATAAGAAGGTAAGCAGGAATGGCCTTTCGCGTGCTCTACCGAAGACAGAGGGACAGTTTTAATTATGCTTTTAGATTTCAATCCACAGTTAAATAATCAGATTTAAAAATTAAATATAAATACCAAACTTTATTCTGAAATGATGAATTACCACAAAGCTTAAGAATGTATCAAAATTGTTAACATTAGACTTTACTATTTTGTTTTGCTTTTTAAATCTGCTTTATTAACTACACAATATATAATGAGATTCTTTCCATACATTAGATAAATTCTGCTAACAAGAAAAAAATTTAAGACTGAATCAAAAACACAAGTTTCAATTAGAAGCTGGCATTAAGTGGAGACCCATGAGGAATAAGTAACATCAAAAATTTTACAACAGTACATCACAAACATTAAGTTTTGGAAGCAGGGGTACCCGTATTATCTTCAGAGAAAACCAGGATTCAGGGCATAAAGCAAACTCATCATGATGGTCATGGTGAGGGGGGCTAGTGCTAACTTCCCGCAGACATGGCTCAGCTGCCTTTCCCTCAACTTCTCCATGAGCTGTCTCACATCCTCCCCAAGCCTTTCCCTGTTCTCCTCTCTCATCCTTACCTGGGGCTCCAACCCTATGCTTCAGGTCCCATCTATAGTGCACAATGGGCTGCCTAACAGGGAACCACCTGCCACTTCCTCAAGGCAGAGTATTCTCCTGCTTCAAAACACAGGACCAAGCTGGGCGGTGATGGCACATGCCTTTAATCCCCGCACTCGGGAGGCAGAGGCAGGTGGATCTCTGTGAGTTCAAGGCCAGCCTGGTCTACAAGAGCTAGTTCCAGGGCAGGACCACAGGCTGCTCCCTTTTCTTAGCATCTTGCGGCATTTCTTCCTTTTCCGCCTTTTCCTGATGATAATTTTCCATGTTGAGTTTTTTTTTTCTCCTTGTCCCTCTTTGGATTCCATTTCCCCTGGGCCTTTCCCCTGCCACATAGACCTTCTCTCATTTGTCGCTGCCAGACGCCGCCGCCGCAACTCAGCTAGCAGACCTGCTCCACTAGCCCAGGGACCCATGCCAGCCCTCAGTTCCGCAGGGAGGCATGGAGCTGGTGGCCAGACGGGAGTCAGAATTTACTATTTTAGACTTGCCAGATAATAAGCTATTCAGTATAAAATATCTGATCTCCATTTCTGACAGTGAGTATCAGCAGGCTTTACTCTCAGGAATTGGTGTAAATGACCCATCAAAGGCCATCTGAGGCCATCTGTTTTCAGTTATATGTTTTGGTGTCAGATCTTGTGTATTTTTTACATAATTGATAATGTCTTATTGTAGGAGGATGAAATTCAGGATTTAAAGTCCAAGGTGAAAAACTTTGAAGAAGACTGTGTGAGACAGCAGCGAACAATTACTTCACAGCAGTCTCAAATAGAAAAGTATAAGAATCTTTTTGAAGAAGCAAACAACAGATGTGACGGACTTCAGCAGCAGCTCTCATCGATAGAGAGGGTGAGTCCCCCTGTCCCCCGACTCAGCGCTGAGGACACACTGAAGCTGTTAGACCCACACTCTTGTTAATAATTATGAAAACATCCCCCTAAAATAGAATATTTGACAACTCTTTGAGGTACATATACAGTAATCACCTAGTAAAGTATGCAGTTCAGTGGCTTTTAGTATGTTCATAAATTCATTCTCAAATGTAGAGCATATTCACAGCCTCCAAAAGATAACTCTTACCCCTCAGCCTCCACATCCCACATCTCATCCATGCCCTGGGTTACTACTTCTCTATTTTCTGTCTCAGTAAATCTACCTGTTCTGGAAATTTCCTTTTACATAGACTCAAATAATATACAGTCTTTGTGACTGACTTCTCTTATTAAAGAATTTTGCTTTTTTTTTTTTACTGTTCATCCATGTTACAACACTAATTGTTCAGCTCTTCTTTAATTGTCAAATATATTCTTTATATGTGACATATACATGAATATAACACATTTTTAAATCTATTGTTTATTTATATATTTGTTGCTGGGGTTGAAGCCGGAGCCTTCCCCGGGGACAGCTGTCTGCTGTTTCCTCGCGCTGCTGCATCACTCTGTCCCCGCAAGCAGCGTGAGGGCCCAGGCTCTCCGCACCTCACCTGCCCTCTTAGTTAGCATCCCACTGGTGTGAACAGTCTCCAGTTCACCAGTAACTAACGATGTACTCATTTCCCACTTATGTACCTTCTTTGGAGGAATGTTGTCCTTTGACTTACACACACACACATGCAAATGAGTGTTGTGACTGTGTGTGCCCCCTCATATAAACATTCCCTTTTCACACATGCCGTAAAGAAATTTAATAAAAGTTATCTTTACTGACTGGGTGTGATGACCTCTGTCTTTAATCCCAGCACTTGGTATTCAGAGGCAGGTGGGTCTCTGAGTTCAAGGCCCGTCTATTCTATATAGCAAATTTCTGGACAGCCAGTGTGACATAGAGAGACCCTGTCTCAAAAAACAAAACAGCAACAAAAAAAACCAACCAAACAAAAAAAACCCCAACTTTATTTAGGAATGTCTTAAGGACAATAAAATGTATTTGTGAGTTAATTTGTCAACGTGGAGGGCACAGGTTATGGAGTCCTGCCCTGCTGCCGCCCTGTCAGTGGCAGTTTGCTTAGCCACTCTTGCTGAGTTCCCTTCTGTAGTGTGTGCCGCTGGCACGTACACAGAAAAGACGTTCCTTTGTTCCCACACAGAGGACTAAGCTAGTAATGTTGGCTTCTGACAAGCTAATCCGCTGGGTGCATGGATGTGACATTAACCACCAGTTCAGCTAACGTAAAGGAGATTTCTGTCCCCTGCCAGTTTCCTTTACACCCTTCCCACACCATCCAGGCAGATGCTGAGCCGCAGTCTTCTTCTGCACTCTGGGGTTTTGGTTTCAGGTTCTTTTTAATATTCTAAAATTTTATATAGATGTAATCATTAAAGTACACTTTTTAAGTCTGGTCACTTTTATTCAGCTGTTTTATTGTTTTTGTTTTTACATGTTCCATGTTTTTGTTTATTGCTCTATATTTATTCACAAATACACCACATTTTAAAATTAGTAATTACAAATGATGTCACTGTGTTTCCATTTTTTGTAGACACATGTCTTTGTGAGTGCATATCTGTTCTCATGACGTTGGATAAATACCTATGAACAGAATCTCTGGATTTTATGAGAAAGTCTATGTTAAAACTTTTTAAGAAACTTCTAGGTGTGGTGGTACCTGTAATTAATCCCATTACTCAGAAGGTAAAGTCAGGAGGATTAACAGAGGTTTGAAGCCAGCATGTGTCCTGCAGGGCTTATTAGCCACCCAGGGCTAATGAATTTGTCTGGGGGGGAAGAAAAATGAAAGAAGAAACAGCCAAATTAAACAACAACAACAAAAAAATAAACATGTAAGGAAACTGTTAACCTGTGTTATAAAATGCTTGCCACACCTGGAATTCCTGCCAGTGTTCCGACCGTGTCCCCAGCACGTGGTCCTGCCGACATCACTGCCTTAGCTCTTAGAGAGGGAGCGGTGCCTTTGCAGTGTCTGTGGGTGCTAATCTTGTCGTGTGCCACGTGTGTGCTTCTCTGTGGTCCGTCTGCACATGTGACAAGACCAGGCTTGAGGGCTTTTCCTGCTTCCACTGTAATCCCCTCACGTATTGCATAATCTCTTGTCATTTGACTTTGCTTCTTTTTGTTTGTTTGTTTGTTTGTTTTTTACCATGTGTTTCCAAAAGCAGAAGTTTTACATTTTTGGTAAATTTTATATATTATTATTTTCTTGGAATTTCTGGTTTTTCATTCTGCCCAGAAACTTTTGCCTGCTCCAAAGCCATGAGAATCTTTCTTCTAAGCATTTCATGTAGTTTATATATATCAGCATCATATGAATCATATACATGTGATCTATTTAAATTAATTTTATGTGTAGTATGAAATAAATGTCTTTTTTCATGAAGGTAATAACATGGGAAATACTGATTTTCCTCATTTTATTATCATGTCATTGACTGTGGGGCCCAGTTCAAGACTTTTACAACAAAACTGAAGACTTGAGATTTTTTGTAAAGTTTTGTCTGGCAATGTATTTGTTTGTTGCTGGTTTGCTTGTCTTTTGGTAGCAGCAATTTTTATCTGTTTGCAGGATGCAATGTGTCTTCTCTGTGTGCTGTAAAAGTTACTAGGATGTAGTGTTCGGCTTGATGGTCCAACCTTTTATTCCAGCTTGGATAACCCACTTGGGAGACAGAGGCAGATAGATCTCCATAAGTTTGAGGCTAGCCTGGTCTACATAGTGAGACTCTGTCTCAAAAAAAAAAAAGTTACCAGTGTATGATTGAAAACAAATGTTTTCAAAGCTTTAAACTTGGTTTCCCTTTCTGTAGTGGATTCACTCACCTGGAGAAACTCTGCTCTTCTTTCTCATTGCTGTCCTCTTTATGCTTTCAAGAAGGAGGCGATGTTTTCAGTTTTCTGAGAAGGAAGTTACAAAGTCACCAGCAAAAGAGAAGGCCAAAGGTTTATCACATTCCTCTTATCGTGGCTGGTGTGAAGCAGTAAGCACTGTGGGTTTTAAAAGTAAGCTTTTTTTTTTTTGTCTTTTCCATGTGAACAGCGAGAGAGTGAGGAGCCCCACCACAGCCGCCTCCCACAAGGCTGTGCGGAAGGCTGTGGCAGCAGATGGCAGCCAGGCGCAGCTTGGTTTGTTTAGAGACCTACATAAGGAGCAGCATGTGTTTTGTTTTGTTTTTCCCTTTAATTACTCAAAGCCACAGAGATGGGTTTCAAAGATTATGTGATACAGCCAAGGAAGAAATATTTAAAAAGACAAACGTTGCATTGAAGTGAGCTCCGGCTCTACAGTGATTGTTACGTTTACCAAGGGCTCTTTGGAGGCTCTGGGCCAGCCAGACCGTTGTGTGTTGTGTGGGGTACAGTACAGGTATTCAATACATTTTTAATTATTAATAAATTTAATTATAAATATATGTATGCCTGCTTACCTGTATGTCCAAGATCAGAAAAGGGCATCAGTTTCCTAAAACTAGAGTTACTGGCAGTTGTGAGTCCCAATACAGGGGTTGGGAACCAAACTTGGTTCCTCTGCAAGAGCAGCAAATTCTGTAAGCACTGATACATCTTTCCAGCCTTTATAAAGATATTATTAGTGACTTTTACATGCAACTACAATGCTGGAAATGAAAACAGCTGATAACTTTAAAAGTTTGCATTTCAGTGGGAGAAACAAGCAAGTGAATGGTTTTGGTACCTGCCGCAAATGGTGTGCTAGCCTGTATCAGGCTGCTCTAGCAGTCCTGAAGAAAAGGCACCAAATCCAATCCATGTCTGCTGGAAGGACTAGGGACAATACCAGGAAGGAGCTCGAGCCCTACTGAGCACCCAGGTGGAGCCTGGTGCTAATTAGGTAACTGGGGACTGGAGGCAGAGAACTCCAAGTCCAGGGAGAGATACAAGCAGTGCTGTTGAAGCCCCTGATGGAACAAGTGTGGCAGGGGAGGGGCCTGATTACTACAGAGTTCACAGTTCATGAGATGGATTGTTGTTAGCTGTCCCTTTTCAGCAACAGACTACCGTAGACTATTGGCACAAATACAAGGCCCTCATACTTTGCAAGATATGCTGTTTCTGCTCAAGTTGGATAATCCCTAATGGGGTTAATATGCAACCCTCCATTTATCTTTCGCTTCTTCAAGCGGTAGACTTTGTCAGTTCTCCGCAAGAGCAATATTCATGGGCAAGTGGTATCTTACCAGGACTTTTGGGAGGTTTCCAGAAGACCTTGAGTGAGCTAGGCTTAGAGGCATGTGTTGAGTGGTCTTGTGTTTGTGTTCTGACAGATAAAGCTTTCGTGGAGATCAGAGAGCAGAGCTAGCCACTAGTTAACCATAGAAGCCGGGCAGTGGTGGCACACACCTTTAATCCCAGCTCTTGGGATGTGGAGACAGGAAGGGATAAGGTGGGATGGAGACAGGATCTGAGTGCCTTTTGGACTAAGGAATGAGAGGGGAAGGAAGCAGCTGGCGGCTGCTCCTGGTTCTCTGATCTTCCGGGTTCCCCCAATAGTTGATAATTAATAAAGAATAGTAATTCTTTACTAAGAATTACTATTCTTTATTAAGAATAAGATTAATTAGATTAATGCTTCAGGCATATGTATAAACTCAGCACTCAGGAAGCAGACACAGAAGAGTCTAGAGTTTCAGCCCTGCCTGGGCTACACATACAGCAAGATCCTATCTCCTAACAGTTCAGTTTTAAAATATTTACTCCTAAAATAAGTATGGACAATAATTATACAGTGTTTTGAATCAACATGAGGCAGAAAATATTAAACAAAAGAACAACATTTGTTGTTGTTGGAGAGATGGCTTAGTGATTAAGAGCACTGGCTGTCCTTCCAGAGGACCCAGGTTTAATTCCCAGTACCCACATAGTAGCTCACAACCATCTGTAACTCCAGCTCCAGGAGATCTGAGGCCTTCTTCTGGGCTCCAAAAGCACCAGCCACACAGGTGGTGCAGACATAATTGAAGAGACCTAACTTGACATCAGTGCAACCATGAAAGGCTGCAGACTAGCTACACTGGGGCTAAGTCTTACTCTTAAAATATCCAGGAAAAGCTACAAACTGTACCATGTGGGGACCAATCAGAATCGAGACAAACTAGTATTAGATGCTCCAGAACATTAGAAATAGCTTACCTAACTTGTATATACGTTACCAATTTCCTTCCAGCAACGCCAGCTGCCCCACTCCTGCCCAAGCAGGAGTTCAGCCCCCAACTGAATCTGGAATTCACCTACCCCTCCCCCCAATTCTTTATTCCTTAAAAACCTGAGCTCAACTGAGCTAAAGGTTCTCCCAATCCAACCGCTGTGTCAGAATGCATGGAGAGCCCACGCTTGAGCTTGCAGTAAAGGCTCTTTGCTTTGCATATGAGCCGGGCATAATAATAATACATGCAGACAATGCCCCCTCCCCCGCTGAGAACTAGAGGATAAAATTAAAAATTACAAAAAGCATTTGCAACTACATTTTAGGTATCTTTCTAGTGCCAATTTTGGGTGACACTCTCCTGAGAACTGTGCCTCTTGATGCTTGGCCTGCAGCCCCGTATGAGTGAAAGCAGGAAGCATGGAAATGAAACAATGCAAAATATAAAAGGGAACTGATGGTATTTCAATACTCTGTATTTTTTAACTACACAGGAATTAGAAAATAAAAGAAGATTACAAAAGCAGGCTGCTACAAGTCAAAGTGCCACAGAAGTTCGCCTGAATCGAGCTCTTGAAGAAGCGGAGAAGTATAAAGTGGAACTGAGCAAACTAAGGCAAAGTAACAAGGTGCACAAACCCGGGTAGCCCCAGTAGGGCTCACCCTTGGGAATCCCTCCCTCTGCAAGCAGTGAAACCAGGTTTTTTGCTTCTTGTGGTGGTGGGTGGGGCAGAACACGTAGACCAAGGTGCTCCTGTGAAGGTCAGAGGACAGCTTCACGGAGTTTGTCACCTCCTTCTCCCTCTTGTGTGCAGTTGGGGGGGGGTCTAAATTAGGTGATGAAGCTTACATGTTAAGCCTTTACTCACTGAGCTGTCTCACCAGCCCAGAAAATAACCTCACTGGCCCCTGTGAAATTTAAATTTCTTGTGTGCTGGGCAGTGGTAGCTGACATCTCTAACCCTAGCACTCCAGGAGGCAGAAGCAGGTGGATCTCTTGAGTTTGAGGTCAGCCCGGTCTACAGTACAAGTTCCAGGATCCAGGGCAGCTAGGGCTGTTACACAGAAACCTTGTCTTGAAAAACCAAAAAAAAATTTTTTTTCTTGTGTCGTGATGAATGTTCTCTTTTCAGAAAAAAAATTAATAATAGGTACATTTTCCACTAGTTAGGATTTTCCACTAATTCGGATTCTGTTTTGGCTGTTAAAATTGGGTGACTGCATACTCCTTTGGAGGACTCATTCATTTCTTCACATAATCTTTAGAGGACTGTGTTATATGTCAGATTCTTCCTGAACCCTGTGGATAAGCCATGAAAAGTAAGCACCTTTTGTATGCCGCCTTCTCTGAACCTCAGGCTTCTACTCTGCAGAGGGAGGGGATTTATTACAGGGCCACAGGTCTGAGCCTTGAGCTCTTTGGGCTTTGTTAAGTACAGACCACTGGATCCCACCCTTGGAGGCCTGAAAATAACAGCGTCACTATGAGTGGTAGCACCATTAGAGATATGTAAAGGCCACTCTCACACCGCCAGTGTCAGCCAGTCCCTTGAGTGTCTGCTGAGTGAGTGGAGATGGATACTGATGTCAGAACCTTTCAGAGTCTGTACAATTAGTTCTGCATCAACCTGATGGAATTGCTTCCTTATGACATTTAATACCTTAACAATGACTTAGGAACCACCTTATTTCATAACTGATGGTAGATTCTGAATTGTCTCAGTAACACTGGCTGGAAACACACCTTGACTAACTAGTCTTCTGAAATAATTAGCAGAAGCCAACACATGACACCTTAACTACAACATTTTAATGATTCCACCTGAGGCACCTGCTGCAGCATGTCCGGCTGTTCCATGTCTAACACCGACGATGATGTAACTGAAATACGTCATCGTCACATCCCAGCACTCAGCATGCTGCTGCGACCTGAGAAAGCAAAGGGCAGAGAAAGCAAAGCTGTATCCGGATTTGCCCTTTGGTTGTTGATCTGATCTCTGACTAGCGGCACACATTAGAAAAATAGGAAGGAAAACTATTTTCTTTTCAGTAAGTGGCTTCCTTTCTGTCCAGCAGTGTTAGAAATTCAAGTAATGAAGACTTGGTAGCCATACCTTTAACCCGAACACTCGAAAGGCAGAGGCAGGCAAATCTCTGTGAGTTGAAGGCCAGCCTGATCTACAGAGTGAGTTTCAGGACAGCCAGGCTACACAGAGAAATCCTGTCTCAAAAAACAAGCAAACAAACAAACACAAGGAGACTTGGTATGTGAACTTCCATAGCCACTAGGAATACAAAGACTTGGGTGTGTACAAAGTTGACTCAAATTATTTCAAAGTTTCAAAAGCTGTTTTAGTGAGAATGCATCTCAAAAAACCAGAAAAAAGAAAGTTATATATTTATGACTCATATTTTTGAATTTTTACTTATTTGTGTATTTTTAGGGCTTGTCTCTGGGCATGCTTAGGCTCCACAGTTGTGGTGTTTTCTTTTAGCATCTAACCTTTTTGGCGAGGAGGGATTTTCCCATTTCATCTTTTGTGTCTTCTTACTCCTCTTAGACATATGATTAGGTAAGTTAAAACTTTCCGGTCTGTATGTTTGAAACGTGACAAGAAAAGAGTAAGGTTTACATAAAATAGAACAAGATTCCCTCATAGTCATCAGAAACTTAAAGATCTGTTTTTAAAATAATGACAAACTATTCTCCCCAGAGACTCGGAAACAATGGCTTTAAAGTAAAAATAACCTTTTGAACTGAAGTCAGTCACCCTAGCCAGATATAAGGGTGCAGGAATCTTAGTGTAAGGCTGTGGTGTGTGTGTGTGTGTGTGTGTGTGTGTGTGTGTGTGTGTGTGTGTGTACGTGCGTGCACACATGTGTACACACACATTTGTGTTTATGTGTGTTGAAGGCCAGAGGTTGACATTGGGTGTCTCCCCAATCACTCTACCTTACTCCTTGTGGCGAGGTCTCTCTGAACTGAGAACTGGCCCGTTTCCTTAGGTGACCCAGAAAGCTGGCTCCCAGAATGCACATGGGCAGCACTATTTCCATGGGGGCGAGGGATCCAACTCTGGCCTCACACTTAACTAGTGACCCATTATCTGCATCCTCTCTTCTCTCTCCTACTCTCTCCGGGATCTTACTGTTCCTCACGTCTTACACTGTGTCCTCCAAGCCTGCAGAGTTGTCACTTCTGGAACCTGCTGAGGGAAGAGTGGTGAACTGGACATCTACTTAGAAACAGGGCATTTGATGAGATGGTTGTTTGACATAGGAGACCAAAGTCCATGTTACTTCATTTAGAAGTGATCATTTCTGATTCTTTTTAAATTAATTTAGAAATATTGCCAGACCGTGGTGGTGCATGCCTTTAATCCCAGCACTTGGGAGACAGAGGCAGGCGGATCTCTGTAGGCCAGCCTGGTCTACAGAGCAAGTTCCAGTACAGCCAGGACTGTAATAGAGAAACCCTGTCTTGAAAAACCAAAAAAAGAAAAAAAGGAAGTTAAAAAAAATAAAAGAAAGAAAAAAGGGAAAAGAAGAAATATTTATGAGGTTCTGTTAGGTACTGTACCACCCAGAGGTTTATGGGAGGTTGTAGATAGATGGAGTTGCAATCAAATGTAGTCCTTGAATTCATATACTGAAGTTGACTGAGAGCATAAGGAAGTGCTTAGGTCACAGGCAAACTGGTCATGCACTTGCACTAATCCATGGGGCAGAAGCTGTGGAGGGTACATGGTGTTCTGAGCAGGCAGCCAGACCATGACATTTGTTTTCTAAATGTAGTCTAAGCTAAAATTGGAATAATCTGTAGCAGTTAGGTGCCAAGGAAAAGATTATCAACAGAAGGAATAGTGTGTAGAAATGGCTGTGTGGCAAGAAAGAGGAGGAAGGCATCATAGACGTGTAGGTAGGAGCAGAAAGCAAGCCTCAAACATTGGGGAGTAGCTGAAGTCATTCACCTGGCTCATTAGGCCATGCAGCAGTCTGGAGCTCATTCACAGAGTGGTGCAGATCAGCTGTGGTTTCCCTGTCTATCCAGTAGGGAACTTGTTGCAGGGGGCCCAAAATGGAGGTCGACAGGCTGGTTCTCTAGAGCATAGGCAGAGTGTCAGACAGTGTAGGTTGGACTGACTGGTGGCAGCAAAAATAGAAATGAATTGAGTATCAAAAATTGTATTTACGAGAGAAAACCACAAAGACTGGGCATGGGTTTTGAAAGGGGGAAACCTTAGGTGGTATTTTTTTTTAAAGTTTTATATTAAGTGCATGTGTGTATATCTGGGGGTGGGGGGTGGGGATATGTGCACATGAGTTCAGGTGACTGAGGAGGCCAGAACAGAAAGTTTGGATCCCTGGAGCTGGAGTTAACTACAGCTGTTGTGAGCTCCCTGATGTGGGTGCTGGGAACTGAACTTGGATTCTTAGCTATGGAATCACCCATTGGCTCCAGGACTTTTTTTACTTAAGGTTTTTTCCCTTAAACTAGGTACTGCCATTACTAAAATAAGAAAGACTTGAGTAGGTTTAGGGAAGGACAGTTGTAGTCCATGCCAGTAGGCAAATAATGAAGGTGAGGCAGGAGGACTGCAAATTTGAGGGTTCAGGAAGAAACTATGAATTATTTTAAGATATTGTAATACTGAAGTTATTCTGAGGAACCCGAGAGGGGATATCAGGATGTAAGTGTCTGCACAGAGCAATGAGTGAGAGGGAGAGAAGCAAGGGTGTGGCAGAGCAACCACCGCTGGGAGTGCCGAGACTGTGCGGAGTGCACAGCAGAGCTCACCTCAGAAATGTTTCTGCAGGGTGGTGAGGCTGCGCTCGCTCTGTGTGGGATTCAAATGGGGTGAGATGAGGAAGCGGAGCGTAGACATGGAGGGAAATACAAAGTTGACCTAATTTTTAAAATAAGGTCATATAAATATGGTGAAGTGGAGACTGATTATGTATAGTTTGAGTCTTGGCTCCCAGGCATTCCCATGACCACAGCTCAGTTCCCTACAGAACATTCTCTCTGCTCAGAAAGATCCTTGTGTCCTGCCGAGGCCCTTCCCAGAGGTGCAACTGCACTGCCGTCCTCTCCTAAGTTAAACACAAGTGGACTCTGCGTGGGCTCTTGGGACTGGATGCTTGCACTGTGCAGGAGTCGGAACTGACCTGTGCTGGGGTTTTCCCTCCACCCATCTTACCAGTGAGTTATCAGTACTCTTGTCAAAGAATCAGCTTTTGTTTTTACTTCAGTCTGCTCTCTGTGTCCCTGACTTATCCCTTTCACTTCTGCTTTCTTGTTTGGGTTTTAATTTGCTCTTTTGTCTCTAGCTGAAGTTGAACCTTAGATTGCTGATTTTAAACTTTGTTTTCTAAAGCATTAAGAGCTACACCTGTCTTAAAGTAATACTCTACATTTGTCTGACAATTTTTGGCCTGCTTCTCTGTTTGTTTGTTTGCTGTTTTTTTTTTTTTTTGAGCAGGGTTTCTCTATGTAACAGCCCTGGCTGCCTGATTGTCCTGGAACTCTCTTTATAGACCAGACTGACCTTGAATCATTCATATATATATTATACTACAAAGACATAACTATTATATAATAAACCTGTACATGTTTGGTGTAAAATGT